TCCTTCTCTCGTTATTCTCTTTACCATCAAAGTCAATCTTAGTGAGCACAGTTGTATTTTTCCCCTTTATTTCCCTTTCTTTTCTTTTTCTTCCTTTCTTCTCTCTCTTGGTTCTCTTCTCTCTTTCTTCTTTTCTATTTCACTCCTCTCCCTCTCTTTCCTTCCACATGCTGGGAGAGCTACAGCCTTCCCTCTGTGACAGTGCTGCACATGACACGAGGCAGTGCTACATATGGCATGTCACTGGGCTCTGCTATGTCTTTATCTATTTTTGTCTTGTCTTCGCTTTTTTCTGTTTCGTTTGTTCTTCTTTCATTTTTTCTTCTTTTCTCCTCTTCTTATATCTCTTCTCTTCTCTCTTTCCTCCCCAAATCTCAGCAGATTCAGTTTTTCTTTTTTGTTGTTTTCTTTTTTTGACTGTTTTTACTTTTGTTTAGTCTTTGTATTTTTGCGGGGGTTAATGGGTGTTAGTTTGCTTGGTATTTTTGACCCATCTTTGTTTTCATTTCTCTCTCATTTTCTTCTCTTCTCCCTCACTTTCCTTTCAAAAGCCACTATCAGCCTCCAGGCAACTCCCTTCCACCAAGGGCAACTCTGAAGTCACAGTTGGGGGAGCTCTTGCCCACACTTGTTGGTGTTACGTGCAGCTGGAGAAATCACACCAGTCCTCCTCTATACCCCAAGTGGCTGGGTGTTCTCCCCTTCAAATTGCTGGGGGAACTCCAGCCTAAACCTTGAGGCCCTACAAGTGACTGGGGGAATTCCTACCTACCACCCATCGGTGGTGCTCCATGCTGCTGTGGGAATTTCCGCCCGAACTCCACGGGGATCTCTCTGACTAGGGTAATTCCACATTACATCTATGGTTCTCTAAACCAAGAAGGGTACACCCACATGCCCTCCATGGCACTCCAGTTGCACAGTGAAACACCACACACCACCCGAGGCACTCCAAGCATCGTGAGACAAACCCCTATGTCTTATTTAGAGATCAGACAGTGAAACAGCACCTTCGTGGGCCCACAAAAACCTGTTATCCAACTCACATTCCAAATAATGGAATACTGGTCAACTAGGGTAAGAGTGAAACCACAGGAAGATACAGTGTTAACCTGATCCCCCAGTACAGCTACCTGCAGGTAGTTTGTAGAAGCACTCATAAGAGTCCCCCAAGAGAGAGCCCAATGCTGTTTGACTCTGGAAAATGGCTCTAGGATCCTCTAAAACAACGTGTAAACAGCAAGCAGCCCCAACAGCTTCAACTAAAAAGCAGGAGAAACAAAAGACCATGCCAGAAGAAGTCACGAACCTAATGATGTACATAGAAGTAACAGATATTGACCTGCCACAGAAAGAAATTTTCAGAATGCTGCTTGGAATCATACAGGATATGAGGGAAGCAATACAGAAAAAAGATGAAATGATAGAGGAGATAAAGGAAATGCACCAAAGGGAAATACAAGACTTAAGGGATGAAATAACAAAACCCAGTGGCAAAATGAGAGACTTTGCCAACAGACTTGAGGAGGCAGAGAATGGCACCAGTGACCTAGAGAATAACCAAGAAGACCTCAACAAACGACAAAGGAAGCCAAATAAGACAATCAGAGAAGCTGAAGAAAACCTGAGAGCCTGGCTATGGGCAAAGAGAACTAATTGGTGGTGGTGCTCTTATATCAGTGAAGGGCAGAGCAGACTGGCAGACGTTTGTTCATCGTAGCTTGATGCCTAGATAATGGCCAGAGCTGTTTCATGCCTAGGGCACATTAAAAAAATAAAACCTGAGAGCCATTGTCTGATACTATGAATAGGAACAATATTTGAATAATTGGACTACCAGAACAAGAAACGACAAGAAATCAACAGAGAAAATAGCGAGGGAATTCTTAGAGGAAAACTTCCCCAGCTTAATAAAAGAAAATCAGGCAACCACTCAGGAGGCTGAAAGAACACCAGCCAGACTGAATCCCAAGAAGTCACCAAGACACATAATAGTTAAATCATCCAACTATGAGGAAAAGGAGAAGATCATAAGAACAGGTAGTGAAAAGCAAATAGTCATGTAAAAAGGTGCCTCAATAAGAGTATGTTCAGACCTATCAGCAGACATTATAAAGAAGAGGAGGGAATGGAATAACATATTCCAAAAATTAAAGGAAAACAATGCAAACCCAAGAATACTATACTCGGCCAAATTACATATTAAGATAGAGAAGTAAGAGCCTTCCCAGACAAGGAAAAACTCAAAGAATACATAAAAAGAAACCCAGCCCTATAAAAAAATCCTTGCCAATCCAGTATGGACAGAAGATCAACACTCACCAATGGTAAATAAGAGACCATCACATAGAACAACTCCACCCATAGGGCAACAAGGAGAAAACGGACCCCAAGATAGCATTAGCTCAATAGTGGAAAGAAGGCAAAAATGAACCACACACACACAACACAAATGGATAAGATAGGTAGGTAGGAAAATACCCAACCAAAAGGTACAAGATGACATCACAGATTCCACTGGTGGATGTAATAAAACTGAATATCAATGGCCTGAACTCAGGCATTAAAAGGCAGAGG